CAGTTTCCTTGTCTTGTTCTGTCTGATCGGCCTGGGGTCGCATGTCCTCTTGCGTCCATGCCCTGGGAGGTTGTCTACAACAGGACATGAACTTGTACTTGTTATAATCTGGTCAGCTGTGTTCAGAGGAACATGATGATGCTTGAAGATGGTTTCTGAGTCTTTATGTTTCACATGGATGGATTTATGATCTCCTCTGTGAGCTCCTCACATGTTCAGAGTGCTGAACACAACCACCAAACTGCCCTGTGTGTCTGATGGTGTACAGTACGGGGTCATAACTTTTGTTCAAAATAAAAAAAAATTGAAACTGAAAAACAATGCATTACAATCTGGAAAGGTTTCAAACATCTTGTCTTTTCAGTTTCAATTTTTTTTCCAGTTTCAAAATTATTTTTCATTTTTCAAATCTCCTTTTTTCAGTTTCGATTTTTTTTTGAACAAAATTATGACCCCAGTGTAGCTCCATAATGGTGACCCTGAAGGCTGCTGTCATATTTGAAACTGAAAAGACAAGATGTTTGAAATATTTCCAGATTGTAATGCATTGTTTTTCAGTTTCAATTTTTTCAGTTTCAAAAAAATTTTTCAGTCTCAAATCTCCTTTTTTCAGTTTCAATTTTTTTTTGAACAAAACTTATGAGCCCAATTTCGCTCCATAGGACCACCCCATTTGTCGGTCAGGTGTAGGGTAAGGGTCCAGGTTAGACCGTAGGAATGACCAGTAAATAAACAGAAGTCAGTGTAAGTCCTCACAAAAAGGAAAGACGAATATGTGTGTATGTTTACAACATGATGCAGAGAGGGTGCCGTTTTACTGTGTGCACAGGTTTCACCTTCAGTCACATGTTGAGCAGGTTTGGTTTTCTATATTTAATATAACACACATTAGTGGTGCGTTAAATACAATTTTTCTTTGTGTTTCTTGCTGCTTTTGTCAAAAGTTTGAGATTATTTCTCTTTGAGGGAAAAAAAGTCCAAACTTGTGCTTTCAGTGACAAACCAGAGGAGGTCACCAGTTCTCAAAGACAAACCAGAGGAGGTCACNTCAAAGACAAACCAGAGGAGGTCACCAGTTCTCAAAGACAAACCAGAGGAGGTCACCAGTTCTCAAAGAATGTTTAGATTGTGATGAGATGAGATGATGGGACAGACACAGATTTTACTTGTTCTCAAACTTTATTTTCATACAGTTGAGTTTGTCTAAAGTGTTGATAAAATGTAATTTGTGATATTAAACACCTACGATGGTCACATGAAAACAAACTGCAACAACATTCAAAAGAGTCTTTTATTTGTACTTTGGTTTTCTGGTAAAATGATTCAGAAAATTCTTGATTTGAATGAGACAAATCACATTTTAGATTTTATTTATTTTTACACTTATTCACTTATTTTAACTGAATTATCTTCTGCCAAAAGGTGAGCAGGAGTGTGAGTGTGTGTTCATTTGTCTGATAAAATATTTCATGAACCAATGAATGCAAAGAAACTTTCAAATAAAAAAAAATCATAGGATTTACATCTACAGCTGATAAAACTTTTTGTTAGAAAATGGCCACCACAGTAAATCCTATTAGGAAACACAATAAGGGGGCGCTAGTGAGCACCGTATGGAATAGACGTGTTTTTTTTCTGGCTCCTCACCACTTAAAAATAATTCCATATTTACATTGATATTTCACTCATATTTCGGTTTCCCCGTGTTATGACTGACTGCTTTAACATTGAGGATGACTAAACCCAAGGCGGATAAAGGAAAGAAGCAAGATAAGGCTTCGGAAGAGACGACTGGGCAGCACGTGCTGGAGCTAGCTACGCAAGCTACAACCGCAACAGAAGCTGAACTAGCATGTGAGCATGATACGGGATCCTCTACCATCCTTGCTGCAATAAATAATATGAGCAAGACAATGAATGTCAGATTTAATGATCTTGAAGCAACCCTCGCTTCAACCCAGGCATCTTTATTAAACCTCGTCGACCGGATTAAGGAGGTGGAAGAAGCT